AAAACTGTCAGTTTCTTAAAAAGTGAAACATATACCTAGTCATTACACTGCCAGGTATTCACCCAAGAGAAATAAAAGCATATGCCCATACAAAGACTCGTGCATGAATCTTTAGAGCAACTTTATATGTACTAGTCCCAAAACAACTCAAATGCCCATCAACAAATGAATGGATAACGAGTTATGGTATATCCACAAAATGGAAAACTCCTCAGCAATAAAAAAGAATGGATACATGCAACAGGATGGAGAAATTTCAAAATAATTATTCTGAGTGAAAGAACGCTAAGAAAAAATAATTTCATTTATAAAAAATTCTGAAATATACAAACTAATCAATAGTGACAGAAAGCAGATCGGTAGTTTCCTGGAGTAGAAAGAATGTGAAACAGGGAAAGAAGGGAGAAAGGGATTATAGAGTCTTGATGAAATTTTGGGGCTTATGGATGATTGTTATCTTGATTATGGTGATGGTATCAAAAGTGTATATATATGTCAAAACTCATCAAATTGTATACTCTAATGTGCAGTTTAGTGTATATCATTGTACCTCAGTAGAGTTATAAAATAAAAAAGGAGGGTATGAATTATAAACATTGCATTTTAGTGTTCATGTCTTTGCCTGTAGTCAACGACAAGGAAGAAACTAGGGCAAATGACAGTAGACATCTTCTCTGAATAAAATAGGACTGTATGTTTGTTTAGTTAAGCTAAAATATCATTAAAGAGGGGAATCTTAAAAAAAAACTACCTTAAACAGTTTAACTTAAATATACAAGTAGTCCTTATTTTGCATTGTCTGATACACACGAATTTCAGTTACCATGATTTAGTTAATACCAGACCACGACAACATGGTTCAAATCTCAGTTACCATGGTATATTAACTGTGAGTAAAAAGCGCAGTGTTCAATACTTGCTTTTCAGTCCACAAGATACTATGAAAATAACATGTACATTAAAATTAGTGAGCACTTTGCATGACTTCTTTCAAAGTCTGCAGATGATCACTGTGCATTTGTTATTCAGTTCACACACAGCATTTAGTTTTGTTACCTCTGTGCCCCTGAGATAAACCCACAAGGAATTCCACAAAAATGGATAACTGAATGGGGGAATTGGCAAACATAATTAAAGTGCACAAAAGCAACACAAAGTGATGATACTGGAAGTGAAACTCAAATTGAATGTAAATGGAATTACAAAAGAAATAGCTCACTGCGGGAATGTTGACATTGCTGCCATTTTAGAAACTCTAGATATGCAGACTGAAGAGATCAATGAGGGTGAACTTATCGACATAAATGAGGTAAAGTGTTTGCGATGAAAAGGCTGAATATGTCCCAGAAGAAGTGATGCTGGCAGAAATCTTCACATTAAAAGAACTCTCAAGGACTTCCCTGGTGGTCCAGTGGTCAAGACTCTGCACTCCCAATGCAGGGGGCACAGGTTCGAACCCTGGTCGGGGAACTAAGATCCTGCATGCCGCACCACATGGCAATAAATAAATACATAAATAAATAAAGAGAACTCTCAGAGATATTTCAAGCCATTGAGAATGTAAAGGATAAAATGTTGGAATCTGACACAAATTTAGAAAGGCGTGTGATAATTAGCCAAGGTAAAGAAAAGATGCTCAACTTGTAAGTTGTACAATGAGAAGACAAGCACTGCTCAAACTACTCTTGACAAGTTTTTTTTTTTTAAACGAAGAAATATACTTTGGTTCTCATCATTTCTAATATTTTACGTTACACAGATAACTGATAGTGACTTCTAGTGCTTCAAAAAATTTTTTTAAAGGTCACAGAACAATTTGAATTTTCCTCACTAATTATTAAGATAACTTTGCATAGGTTTTAGCTTACACTATCAGTTTTATGGATGTGCACTACTATGCAAAGCAAAGACTGTCTGAATATTAGCTAATTTTTTGAAGAAGAATGAAATGTGCTGAACAGAGGGCCATAACATCTTTCTTCCATAAACCATACACATATTATATATAGTCTATGATTTTCAGGGATTGTTAAAATTTGTTTTTTATTTATTAATTTATATATTTTAGTTGGGTGAAAATTTAAGACATATACAAAGCAACTGAATATGGAATCTAAGACATATGCAAAGCAATTGAATGTGGAGTCTTTCTTAAGCAATGGTTCTCATTTCTAGCTATACATTACAATCAGCTAGGGCGCTTTAAAAAATTCCAGTGTCCTAGACCAATTAGACTAGAATATATGGGGTTGGAACGATAGCATGAGGATTTTTTCCAAATACCCTATGTTATTTTAAATATTCTGGCAAAGTTGAAAAAGACTGTTTCATCTTTTTACACTTTCCCCAAATCTTTCATAATAACTGTCTCAATCATATCTCATTTTGTTTTAAGCCATTTGTTTCCACTATTTCAAAAGTGGTCCATTTAGTTTTATAAGAATAGCAACTTTTGTATTCATACTTCATCAGCTCCCACTAAAATGACATCATCAGAATAATAAATAAAACTAGCATTAATAGGGTTAGGGAGAAATAATGACTTTTGATAAGCACACAAAGCAATTGGTGGGAGAGATGTGCATGGGATTACTAGAGTACAGGTTTGTAACCAGAAATGTTAAGTATGCTCGGGGAATCAATGCTTTACAGAGGAAATGAAATCTATTTAAAGATGGATTAATCTGGCAATTTGGTTAGGAAACCTTCACTGTTTTGAATTTTTATTTCTTCTAATGAAGTAAGAGGCTTAGGTCACAGAATTTTGACTGTGCTAAAGAGCTATACTTAGCTGCTTCCTCAGACCAAGGACTTTTTGGAATTAAAAGACAACAAGAAACCAAATTTTTCAGACACTCAGTGGTGCACACGATTTACATTATTACTGATATGATAAGACCTCTGGTCATATGAGGGAAAAAAGAATAATGCTGCTTCTTTTCAAAAAAGTACCGCTACTGTCACTGAAATTAAAGATAATGGACAACGTCACTCATTTTCCAAACTTTACTTCGCTGATCATTAGGGAAGAATTGCAGAACTACTTGATGGAAACAAGCCACATAGTCAAAGCAGACTGACAAATTTAAGCAGACTGACAAATTGTGATACATACAAATTTTGCTTGATTTCTTGCAGTTACTGGAATAAAAAACTCTGGATATGCCTGTATGCTTTTGTTAGAGTGGATGACCTAGCTGAAAAGGAATTACTGTCAACTGTGCACTAACGGGGGTTGGAGGACAGTAGGAGATGCAACCCCAATCATGCTTAAAACTAACCAAAACATGGTAAAAAAATTAATACTCTCTTATTTAGTTAAAACTGTATGTACTATCTAGAAACATATTTACCCATTCTAAAAGCATAATACTAAAATGTAAGGATAATACACCTTAGAACACAAAACATCATACAAATTGTGCCAAACCCTCTTCTAGGCAATGGGAATACAGGGTTTTAGAAGACAATATACCAGTAAAAAAATAAATATATAATACAATTTCAGTGGCAATAAATTGAATGAAGAAAATAGAGCAGAATAATGGGATGGAGAACCATTGAGAGCAAAGGAGGGATTCGGGGGCAGCAACTGACACATTTGATGGCTCCCTCTTCAAACAGTCTTCCCTCAGCATCCATGATACCTCACCACCCTAATTTGCCTTCAATCCCTCTGGTTACTCCTTTTCAGTTCTTCTGCAGTCTCATCTTCTGCCTAACTTTAAGTGTTGGTATTTTTCAGGTTTGTAATCACTGAACTGCTTCTCTCTTCTTACTCCACAAATAGTGCCTGGGTGATCTTATGTCCTCCTCACTTCACGTATCATTTTGCATTAAACAATCTAAATTTCTACTGAGCATCAAACATATACTATATGCAACTGTGTCCTGCACTCTCCAAGTGAAATCTCCACACGTTCCTTGAAAGCAATATGGGAAAAGTCAATATGAACAAAATTAAAGTAAAACTTGCTCCCTCTTTGGGGAGAGATGTTACCATCATTCACCCTGATATACAAGGCACATAGCTGGGAATCATTGCAGACTTTTCCTTTTTCATCATTCATTATATCCAATTAATCTCCATGGCTGGTTGATTCTATTTCTTAGATTTTTTTCAAATATCTTCACCCTCTTGGCCCCAACTGCCACGTCCCTGGCTCGGGCTTCCATCAACTCTCTCCTTGCAACAGTTACCTAACTTGGCTCCCAATCCTGCTCTCAACTTCAATCCATTCTCTAAGCAGATGACAAAATGCAACAGTTGTCACCTTATTCTCATCTTCTTGCCACTTAACCAAGCATACAAGGCTCTTCCCCATCTAGCCTCCCCTACTTCTCCAGCTTCATCTCTTGTCAATGGCCCTCTCTCCACAATTCTCTGCTCTAGTCATGCTAAACTTTGTTCAATTCCTGGCCTATGCTCCGCCTTTAACATATTGCTTGTCACATAGTAACAGCTCACTAAATACGTTGACTAAATGAAAGAACGAATTCTTGGAAGATAGTTATTCCTTGGGAACCGGGGCGAAGGAATAAAGTAAAATGAAAATATCCTCATTTAGATTTATAGCGCCCTCACTCGAGCCCGCGTGCGCACCCACCTGCCTACAGGTATATAAAACGTATCCTATTTTCTCGAGCCACAGAACAGAAGAGAGAGTAAAGCCCAGTTGTGGTGGAGAAAAGTGGTAACGAGGCGGCCAAGTGTGAGGCAAAGCTAACACAGCCATTGGCCCAGATTTTTTTTTTTTTTTTTTTTGGTGGTACGCGGGCCTCTCACTGCTGTGGCCTCTCCCGTTGCGGAGCACAGGCTCCGGACGCGCGGCCATGGCTCACGAGCCTAGCCGCTCCGCGGCATGTGGGATCTTCCCGGACCGAGGCACGAACCCGTGTCCCCTGCATCGGCAAGCGGACTCTTAACCACTGCGCCACCAGGGAAGCCCCATTGGCCCAGATTTTAACCGGAATATTAGATAAAATAAGGTTTTCTTTACCTCCGTGTGGACTCCGCTCTCCGAAGGCGAACAGGGTCGTCCAAACCCGCTTGTCGTGCCAACAAAAACCCTAGCATCCCGTTCCTTCACACCGGCTGGCGAACTGGACGGCGCCATGACAGAACACTGAGGCTGGGGTGTAGAGCGGAGTCTCCCATTGGTCAAGCATGATGCCACCGGGCCAATGGAGAGCGTCGTTACTTGAGGGTGTACGGAAGGAGGTGGGTGGGACTCCTCTGAGCAGGTGGGCTGGGTCAGCTGCCTGGGCTTTCTCGCTTTGGTCTCAGGGAACCTCGGCAGGTCACGGCACGACCCGCGCTGGAGCCGGTGGGAAGGCATGGGTTGGTCTCAGAATTTGTTCCGTGTCTTGTGGAGAGCGCTGTCAAAGGAAGTGAAGGAGCAAGTGGGCACAGACCGGTTCGGGAACAAATACTACTATATCCCAGAGTACAAGAACTGGAGAGGTGAGATGAGAACTAGGGCAGCGGTTGGGGGGTCGAAAAACGATTTGCGGCACTTGTAATCACCAGAGTAGACAACCCGAGTTCGTTCTCCCCACAACCCTCTCCACTCTGGCCGCTGGCTTTCAGACGGGCTGTCGGTGAACGGCCCGGCGGGTGCCCGCCGTCCCTGCGCCGCAGCGCCCGTGTCCTGAGCCCGGCCGCGGCCACGCTAGCGTTGTATCTCCCATCGCCGAGAGCCCAGCCAGCGGAGGACCGCCCCCTCTGCCCCCCTCAGTGTGGGTCCTTGAGGTCGGGCGACGTAGACGGGGACAAGTCCACGGACGTCTTTTACCAAAGGTTCCCGGGAGGGGTAGGGAAGTGCCTTTCCTCCTCCCGTGACCCTCTTGCGACCAGGCTGGCGCGGGGTAATTGAAGAGGTGTATTTTGAGCGCCTCCGCTCTCCTCTTTCGTGGTGTTGACCTTTTTCAGTGGCTCCGGCGTTGGCCCCAGGCGTCACCTTCCTCAAGGCCAAATCTGTCAGAAGTAGGGCCATGCACGCTGACTGTATGGAAAAGAGATCCCCGCAAGGCTCCACGTTACCTTTCCCATGAGTTTACACTCCCAAGACCCTGTTGCGCTGACTTGAAGATACAGAGCGCTAACCGTGTTTCTGTGCAGGAATCTTGCGAAGTCTTGATATTTGGGGAGGTAGGGGCCGTTGCTGGTCTTTGAGATCACACCACGTGGCAGTCGTGGTAAACTCTTCTGTGTTGTTCCAGCGCCGCGATGCAAAAGATCTCAGGCTTTGGGGTCAGAAAGGCATGGGTTAGAATCTCAACTTTGAGATCTAATAACTGAGGGATCACAGACAAAGTATTTGTCCTCCGCAGGTCTCAGTATCCTCACTTGAAAGTTAGAGATAATAATAATAGCAATAATATTGAGAAACACTAAGACCTTTCAAAGTTGTGTTCCATTCATTTCCCGTAACTCTTGACAGAGGGCATTTCTTCTTCTTCGTAGAGCATATGTAAAGGGTATTCCTTGATTTATTACTCAAAATTGTTTTGCCTAGCCCTTTTCTGTAACTTATTTTAATATCTTAGACTTGTTTCCCTAATAAGCATTTAAACTCTATCAGGGCAGGAAATAAGTCTTAAAAGTCCACAAAGAACCTGGAATGGTGGTGAAGTGTTTCTTGACAGAGGAAGCAGAGGGAAAAATGTTTCTTTTCCATAAGTTGTCAGGTAACGTTAAAAAATATGAAAAACATCAGATTGACCTTTTTAAATTGAAGTATAATTTACATACAGTAACGTTCATCCTTTTTGGTGTATGGTTTTATGATTTTTGACAAATGCATACTCTCATGTATCACCACAATCAAGATATAGAACAGTTCCATCACCCCCAAAAGTCCCTCCTACCCCTTAGTATTTCATTCCCTCACCCTGCCCTTGACAACCACTGATCTGTTTTACATTCCTACAGTTTTGCCTTTTCCAGAACATCATGTATAATAAATGGAGCTATATTGAATACAAGATGCAGTCTTCTGAGTCTAGTTTATTTCACATGGCATAATGTAGTTGAGATTTATCCATGTATCAGTAGTTCCTTTTTGTTACTAAGTAGTATTCCCTTCCATTATATGGGTTTACCACAGTTTATTTATCTGTTCAGCAGCTGAAGGACATTTAGGTTGTTTCTACTGTTTTTGGTGATTGTGCGAAAAGCCTCTATAAACGTTCACATATAGGATTTTGTGTGAACATAATTTCTCTAGGGTGAACAGCTAGGAGTGGAATTGCTGAGTTGTGGGTAAATGTATATATAACTAACTTTATAAGAAACTGCCAAACTGTTTTCCAAACTGGTTGTACAATTTTTCTTTCCTGCCAGCAACACGTGAAAGTTCTAGTTTCACATTCTCACCAGCACTTGGTTTTGTCAGTTTTTTTGTTTTTATTTTTATTTTAGCCATTCTAATAGGTAGATAGTGTTATCTCATGGTTTTAATTTTCATTTTCCTAATGACTGAGGATGTTGAGAATCTTCATGTGCTTATTTGCCATCCATGGATCTTTGGTGAAGTATCTGTTCAAATCTTTTGACCATTAAAAAAAAATTTGGGGCTTCCCTGGTGGCGCAGTGGTTGAGTGTCCGCCTGCCGATGCAGGGGACGCGGGTTCGTGCCCCGGTCCGGGAGGATCCCGCATGCCGCAGAGCGGCTGGGCCCGTGAGCCATGGCCGCTGAGCCTGCGCGTCTGGAGCCTGTGCTCCGCAACGGGAGAGGCCACAGCAGTGAGAGGCCCATGTACCGGGGAAAAAAAAAAAAAAAAAAAATTTGTATTAATTTCATTTCATTGAAAATACAGTATCATTAAAGAAAGACTTAAATTAACAAAATCATGTGTATTCTAAAATGGTATAATTTGTGAGTCACAGGTAATGTTTATCTTATAATTTTATTATTATAATACCAAGTTGTTTTCCAAAGTGCTTATGCCAATTTATGCTTCAATTAGCTTGATATTTTGAATCCATGTACTCTTGATTGTGAGAAAATCAGGCTTTTACCAATGATGTAGTAGAATCAATGTATGCTGCTGTCTAATGTCTCTGTGTGTCTCAGTTCTTAGATAATTGAGGGCTGTGGTACAGATGTGTTATACAGTCTATAAGTACCATTACACATTTCATAAGCCCTCTACTATAAAGCAAGGGAAAATATTTTTAGTTTGTTTTCAAGCAAGTTTTCAAAAAATAAGTCATCTAACTTTTCTATTTCCTTGATATGAAAGGTGGCTCTTTAGAGGTCTCCTTGAGTTTTCTTTGAGTTGCATAATTGAACACCATCAATGAAGAGTGTTTAAGAACCCTTTAGAGGAAATTAATTTTTCTTTTAATTCAGTTAATTACTGTGGTGCCAGTCATCAAAGAACTACTATATTTTCCACATAGGGTTTTATTTAATAAGAGAAAATCTGTTGTTATGTAATTCAAAATAAGTCTTGAGTATTGTCTAGTCAGCTGAATTTAAGTTTAGAACTGTGGAAATTTTAACTTTTTTTAAAAAAAAGCATATTGGCATTTCAGGATAAAAAGATTATGAGTATAGCATGTACTTGGCATTTTTAATAGCAAAGTGTTGATTGACATCTTTTTATTGAAAGTTTGCTTGCTCTATAGTAGATTATTTAGTAGAAGATTCCTCAAACTTGATCTAGAAAATTCCTTAGTTATTGCACCCTTCTTATTTGTAATTTCCCTGAGTTTTTATCCATATGATTCCATTTATCTCATGTTTCAAAAGGTAATTCTCTTCCTTTCTAAGATAAATTCTTGTATACTTGATTCTGACTGGAACCTCTTTGAACCTTGTTTCATTATTTTCACCTCCTTTTGCACATTTATTAAACATCTACACTCCTAAAACTAACAAATTTGTTAACTGAAGAACTATTTTGAGTTGTTATTTGCTAATTGACATTGTGAATGTCCAGATTTTGGGGGTGGGGTGAATATTATGCATAATATGCAAAAACACCTGTTTGGAGTATTGTGTTTGGTTCTGGACACCACAGTTTAGGAGAGATGCTTGAAAATCTAGTGTCCAGACAGGGATAGTTATGATGATAAAATTTTCTGGAAATTATATACGTGAGTATTATTAGCTGTGAGTCTTGAGGAGGTTTACCCTTTGAAGAGAAGATTTACGAGGAACTTCAAGTATATGAAAAATCTTGGTATAGAAAAGGATTAGGCTTGGGACTTACCTGGTGGCCCAGAGGTTAAGAATCTGCTTTCCAATTCAGGGGATGCAGGTTCAATCCCTGGTTGGCAAACTAAGATCCCACATGCCACAGGACAACTAAGCCCGTGCACTGCAACTACTGAGCCCCTGCGCCACAACTAGAGAGCCCAAGTGCCGCAACTACAGAGCCCACACACCGCAACTAGAGAGAAGCCTGCATACCACGATGAAAGATTCAGCATGCCGCAACTAAGACCCGACACAGCCAAATTTTAAAAAAGATAAAAGGAAAGGATTAGGCTCATCTGTATAGCCTTTTAACTCAGAACTTAGATCAGAGGGTAAATGTTTACCTTTTTATAAGAAGCAACTTTCAGACTGTTAGGGCTGTGCTAGAAAAAGAAGAGAGTGCCTTATGTTCGATTGTAGCTGGGAGAATTTAGGGAGATAAGTAGCTGGAAACATTTGATCAGCACCTTGAAAGATAAATACAATTTCACAAAGAGTGGTAGAAAAGTATTTCTGGTTGGCACCTGGAAGGGATAGGAAATACCACAGAGATTAGAATGTAGTCCCATGTGGGTAGACTTCAGAGTAGAAGAACAATAGAAGCTGTTCTAGTGAGGGGATAGACAAGGTCAGATTATAAAAGGCCTTGTATAGGTTTGAAATTTATGCTTCATTCTGTAGGTGGTAGGTAGCCATTGAAAGCTTTTCAACAGAGAAAAGTTTGTGTCATAATTAGAGCTATTAGAGAAATGACTCTGGAAGCCCTGGGAAAGATGAGCTAGAGGGGAAAGGGAGGGAACTAAAATTCTGTTAGGTGGGAGCATCGCTAGGTTTACCGTGATCCTGGATAGAGACCTATTTGGACTGAAGTGATGGAAAGAAAAGTTTGATTTGACAAAACTTTTGGACTTGGTAATGAATTGGACTGTTAGAAGGGGAAAGAAAAGAGGAGAGGCCAAAGTTGATTTTATTGTTTTAATTCTGGAGAACTGGTGGATGGTAGTGTACCGATTCATGCAAATAGAGGCTATAAGGGACTAATGCAAATGGAGAAGCAGGGCTTAGGCTTGGCTTGGTGGAAGAGTAAATAGAATTTGTTGCTTATAACAGGGCAACTGTATAATCAGGCAATTGTATACTCAGATCTGCAGTTCCAAAGATGTCAGTGATTAAAATACAAATTTGGAAGCCATCTTAATAGAGGTGATCACTAAAACTGTAGGGATAGTTGGATTCAAGCAGGGAAAGAATAATA